ATTTCAGTTACACTGGAGCCTGAACATTTGATTCCGTGCCAAGATTGACCACAAGGGTCACCTCCATTTGTTTTCCAGCCATCCAGTTTGGACGGAGAATTCATGCTGGTGTACATGACATTGAGCGCAGAAACTGCTAAGATATACAGATGTCAGAATGAGAGGTAAAAGAGGCAACAGGTGCAACAATATTGTAACATGCGGAACCACTTAAATGCTTTTGCTTTTAAATGATTCTTTGGTTGGCAAGTGGTGAGGCAATTCGTTAAAACATTGAACTAACCCAACTGTCATAACTTCATGGTTTTTAACAAGTGGAAGGAACGGGGGTTTTGGGGAAACTATAATGTGCTGATGTCATCACCACTGGTGGTGCACCAGACCCTTCTGCTGCCTATTATGCTGTCAGAATTTGTCAATGAACAAATTACAGACAGACTGTTGTGCAAATGAAGTCAGTTCTCACTGTTCATTCTGGGAATGAGTGGAGAAAAGAATGGACAAGATAATGTTCAATAAACATTTAAGGTTTAGAGAACCCTAAAATCGAAAATGTCGCAGGTTAATTCTTCTCTCCTATCATTGACGTTGAGTTGAAACCACAAATGACCAGACCGCAATCTTAGGCTAGCTAACAAGAATTTGTGGAGGAAGTGAGTTTTAACTTCTTTGGATGAGGCATAGAATATCAAAGTTTGCTGCCATTATTGAGCCCAACTTTAACCATTATATGTGGTTTCGAACTGAAAAGAGTAGGGCAGCCGGGAATGTTGTTGCTACATCAGCAGAAAATGGTAGAAGTATAAAGCAAAAAATTCAAATAGGCCAGCGATTGCGAGGATGCATGGCTACGGCGGTAAGTGAACTGTGAGAGTAGCATTTTTGTGGCGGTGTCATCCTGTTCCTAAGTTGGTCTGCAGAATAACATATGGTATAAATATAAATGATAATGGTGGTGGTGAGAGATACTAATTAATAATACCGTCGGGAGCATTGGTTTTGCAGAGCACGAAAGTAGTGAAGTTGAAGGAGGTCAGGAGAAGCAGCAGCCAATAGAAGTCCAGTGTTGCTTGTCTCGGCAAAAGCAGCGGCCCTCTTGTAGCTTTTCTAAGAAAGTAACAACCATAAGAACGAGAATAACAAGGAGGAGAAGCGATATCAGCATCGCAGGCCATCATCGTCATCTCGGCCCGGGCGGGGGTTGAGGAAACAGCTGGCGACGGAGTTGTCAATAATACTCCAAAGGATGTTAAATTTGGCAATAAGCCTGCCTATTCATTCATCAAGCTGCAGGCCGAGAGGCATTTTTTGGTTTTTTTTTTTTTTTTTGGCGGGGCGAGGATTCAATGTTAAGAGGAAGGAAGATTTGAAAGAGCAGGAAAATGAACAATGCTGATGTATATGTCGTGTATTACATTGCACTGAATAATTATGTCATGGCTGGAAAGCAAATGCTAAAGGTACGCCTGGGATTAAGCAGAAGAAGGTGGTGACGCCAAATTATTATTATTAATGAAAGAACCGGAATTCTTTCACTTGGAATAAAAGGAAAGGAGAGGCGAGGGGTCTATTGCCGTAGGTGGCGGTGGCGGTGGAGGAGAAAGAGCGAAGGAAGCCTGGGCAAATGCCGCCTGATTCTGGAAATTAATGGAGGACGATACCGGAAAATGGTTTTTTCTTTTTTTTTTTTTTTGTTTTGTTGTTTGGGGTGGGGGGGGGGGGGAAGGGAAGGGAAGAGAGAGAGATTGCCCCTTTGCGTATCCGCATACGTGTTTTCTTTCTATTAGGTCATAACATTCCGGTTGGTTCGGGATGCGATGTGAGGTTGGAGATTAAAGGGACGAAGGCCGAATTTTAGGAGGGGAAGAAGAAGAAGAGAAAATGAGTTCATATTTGCATTTGAAATATTCTACCACTACCTGATTGATTGTGGTCTGTTGACTAGACAGCAGCAGCAGCTTGCTTTGCATGCATTGCTTGCCTAGTCGGAGCCCCAAAAGCGGGAGACATTCCCGATGATTCTGACACTGGAATCTGGATACGTCCATACTTCCCAGGCGACCAAAGCAGCCGCCCTTCCCCCAACCGACCGATACGTCCATACTTCCCAGGATCAAGTGTGTTTGGACAGGAGATTATTTGAAATATTATTTAAAATAATTATTATAATATTTTTAATAATGTAATATATGTGAGATAAAAAAATAATTAAAAAGATAAAAAAATGTGTTAAAAATATTGTATTTGTAATGTAAACAAATAATTTTTAGTCATTGTTTGGCTATCCAAATACACAGTTGCTACTGCTGTGTTAGGAACGGGTAATTGGATTGTTAGGAGCAGGTAGTTGGGTCAGGAATTAGGAAATCGGGTCAACAATTAAGGGAAATTGGAAGCATGGAACGATGTCGTTCCAATTAGTAGGATTTGAATTAGGTATGACGGTTAGTGGCTGAGTCAGAAGAATGTATTAAAGGTGAAACCCACTTTTGTACAGTCAGACAACTAATAACAGAATTCAGTTGCTTCACAAGTAATAACAGAATTCAGTTGTTTTTCTCTCATTTCTATTTTCTCTCTCGCCTACTCTCTTCCCAATCTTCTTTTTTTTTCTCCAATTATCTGTCGAATTGCATGATTGATACCTCAGATCATAACAATTGATAATCAGAGCCTTAGATCCTTGGAGCGAGAGCAAAATCCATGGCAAAAGGTACGAGATTCAGGACATTGGAAGAACAAGTAAAGAGGCAGGAAATCAAGTTCCAAGAATTGATGGAATCTCTACTTTCGCATCAATCAGAACAACAACAGCTTAAGAACAATTTGAAAATGGAATTGGAAGAAAACAACAAGAGAATGGAGAATCTGCTATCAGGAATGGAACAGAATTTCAGCAAGTCACTAGATCAGAAGTTAAATGTACTGCTATCCAAGATGACTCCTGTGCAGGACTAGATCGCGGACAGAGGGGAAAGAATTATGGTGGATCATACACCAATTCTTCCTACACCGCCAGCTCATCAGAGATTGCAACTTGAAGGAGAACAACAGAATGCTTGCAGAAGAGATTGGAATACGTACCAACTTCCTAATCCTCCTAAGATAGACTTTCAACTGTTTAGTGGAGAAAATCCTAGAGAGTGGTTGCGCAAATGTAACAAATACTTCATGAACTATCAAATTTTGGATAACCAGAAGGTTGAAATCATAGAAATATACCTAGATAGGAAGGCTGATAAGTGGTTCCAAGGTATTAAACTTGAAAAACCTGGATTGAGTTAGACAGAATTTGAAGATCTGTTATGCAAAAGATTCACAGACAATTGTTTGCTAGGATATAGTGGAGGAGTTTAATAAGTTGCAACAGGAAGATAGTGTGAAAGAATATCATGAGAAGTTCGAAGAATTGAAACCATTGATGTTGGTTAAAAATAGGAATTTGGATGAGAATTACTTCATTTCTAACTTCATTAGTGGCTTAAAAGAGGATATCAAACCTATGATTCGAATGATGAAACCTACTACATTGATTGAGGCTTTTAAGTTGTCCCAGTGGTAAGAGTACTCACTCAAAATGTAAAATAAAAACTCCAAACAATCTGGAGAGAATAGATTTAAATTGTCAAGGGGAATTACATCAGCAGTAGACAGCAACACCTACAAGGCTCCTGTCAATAATACCCCTAAGACCCCTAGGTTCAATAACAAGTTGTAGGAGGACACTAAGGACATGAAGAAGATTTCAGCACAAGAACTACAGTTTAGAAGAAGTAGGGAACTGTGTTTCAAGTATGGAGAAAAATATGGCATAGGCCACCAGTGTAAGCTAGGACATGTAAACTGTATGATACTAGAGGATGAAGAGGATGCAACTTTTGAAGATGCAATAAGTGAGTAACATGAACAGACAGGGAATCCAGGACAAATTATGAAACTGTCCTTGCATGCATTGTCTGAATCCCTGAGAAGGAAAACAATTACATTGACAGGTATCCTAGACGGTGAGAAAGTTTTTATTCTGGTAGACATGGGAAGTTCAGATAGTTACATCAATATTGAAATGGTAATTGGGATGGATATTGCTTACAGACAGATTAAGCAACCATTTCTGTCATAATGGGAAATGAAACCACTGTGACCAGCAATGCTATCTGTCCTAATATGCACTGGAAAATCAATCAACATAGTTTCAGATTCGATTTGAAAGTGATGGAGTTAGAAGGATGGGATATAATCCTAGGGGTAAACTGGATGACACACTTTAGCCCTATCATATTTGACTTCCAACAACTCAGGATCTCCCAGCACAGTGAAGGAAATAAAATCCACTTGCATGGACAAGCAGAGGATTATGATATGGATTTAATCAAAGGAAAGGATTTGAGAACTTTCATAGAATATAAAAGGCAAATGTGCCTGGCATTGAATTGTAAGAATGAGATAGAAGAAGAGACAGCAGCTATTCCACAGGAAGTTATAAAATTGCTTCAGGACTATGATGATGTGTTCCAAACTCCAAGCTCTTTGCCCCCTAACAGAAGTATTGATCATGAGATCCACCTTAAAAATGAGGCACAATCTTTCAAATTGAAGCCTTACAGGTACGTCCACTGTCACAAAGAGGAAATAGAGAAACAGGTGGAAAAAATGCTTCAAAAAGGAATAGTCAAGTACAGCAACAGCCCTTTTGCCTCTCCTGTGTTGCTGGTTAAAAAGAAAGAAAGGACTTGACGTTTTTGTGTGGATTACAAAAAGTTGAATGAAATAACCATCTAGAACAGGTTTCCAATTCCCAACGTGGATGAACTGCTGGATGAGTTAGTTGGTTCTATCTACAAAACAAAATTGGATCTCATAGTTGGGTACCAACAGATCAGAATTAAGTCTCAAGACACTTTGAAGACAGCTTTCTAGACTTACTGTGGACATTATTCCAACCCTATCTGAGGAAGTTTGTATTGATCTTTTTTGACGATATTCTGATATATAATCCTACCATGGATACTCATATCCAACACTTGAAGGCTGAATTTGAGGTTCTGAGGAACCATCAACTTTATGTGAAGAGATCTAAGTGTGCATTTGCTCAGAAGAAGGTTGATTACTTAGGGCATACTATCACAGATAAGGGTGTTAGCATGGACTATTCAAAAATCAGTAACATTCTACAGTGGCCTGTACCTCAGTCAGTAAAGGAGTTGAAGGGTTTCTTTGGGCTTACAGGATACTATAGGAGATTTATCAAACACGAAGGACAACTTCAAATGGAGCAATCAAGCTCAAGATTCATTGAACACTTAAAGAGATTGATGTGCTCAGTTTCAGTTCTCCAGTTACTAGATTTTAAAAAACTTTTTGTTATGGAGACAGATGCTAGTGGGTGAGGGATTGGAGCTGTCTTAATGCAAGAAGGGTACCCCATTACCTTCCGGAGTAAGACACTTTCAATCAAAAACTTGAGACTCTCAGTTTATGAAAAGGAGCTCTTAGCTCTAGTAATGGCTGTCACTAAATGGAGACATTATCTAGTGGAAAATTATTTCATTATAAGAACTGATCATCAGTCACTGAAGTATCTTTTGGATCAGATACTTAACACTGCTATTCAACATAAATGGATGACTAAACTCTTGGGGTTGGACTATAAGATAGAATATAGGAAGGGAGCTGAAAACTTGGTAGCAGATACCTTGTCCAGGAGGCATGAACCTACACACCAGAAGGAGATAAGATCTTGCTTAGCTGTCACCTCTGTTAAACCTGGTTGGATGAAGGAATTGCAGAAGAGTTATGAAGGTGACTCGCAATGCCAAGACATTATGAGCCAACTAGTATTAGACTCCAATGCACATGCTGAATACAGCCTATTGGATGGAATTCTGAAGTATCAGGGAAAGATCTATGTAGGAGGTGCCAACAACATCAGGAGCCAACTGATTCAGACCTTGCATGACTCTATCATAGGGAGGCACTCAGGTCAGAGGAACTACTGACAGAAGCTCAAGTCCTTGTTCTATTGGCCTGGAATGAAGCAGGAAGTGATTGCATATGTGCAGAACTGTGATATTTGCAAAAAGAATAAAGCTGAGCATGTTTCTTATCCTGAATTGTTACAACCAATTCCTATTCCTAAACAAGCATGGCTTCACATCACTATGGACTTTATTGAGAAATTACTTATGTCTCAGGAGTATGATACTGTCATGGTAGTGATTGACAGATTTATCAAGTTTGGACACTTCATCAGGCCCACTCATCCCTACATAGCTAAGACAGTTGCTCAGATTTTCCTAAACCATATCTACAGGATGCATGGGTTACCAGAGTCTATCATCACTGATAGAGACAAAGTGTTCACCAGTGTATTCTGGAAGGAGCTCTTCAAATTTGTGGGAGTGAAACTTTACTATTCATCATCTTATCATCCTCAAACTGACGATCAGAGTAAAATGTTAAACCAATGTGTAGAAAATTATCTGAGATGCATGACTGTTGAACTACCCTCACAGTGGAGTAAGTGGCTATCACTAGCAGAATGGTGGTACAATTCCACTTACCATTCTAGCCTGAATATGACCCCTTTTGAAGCTCTGTTTGGATACAAACCTACACCACTGTCATTAGGTTCATATCTGGACTCAGTGGTACCTACATTGTCTGATATGGTCCAAGAGAGATGTCGAATTTCAAGTTGCATCAAAGAACATCTTGCAAAGGCTCAATAGAGAATGAAACACTATGCGAATCAGCACAGAGCTGAGAGGAGTTTTTTTGAAGGGGATTGGGTGTTCTTGAACCTGCAACCTTATAGACAGCAAACTGTAGCTGTGAGGAAATGTCTCAAATTGGCTGCCAAGTATTATGGACCATTCCAGGTAGAGAAGAAAATTGGAACAGTAGCCTACAAGCGTAAACTACCAGCAGATGCAAGAATTCACCTTGTGTTCCATGTCTTGCTACTTAAAAAGAAGCTTGGACCACTGCAATGCAGCTCTCCTAAGTTACCAAAGTTGGATGAATATGATCAATGTCCATTGAAACCAGAGGCTATATTGAAGCGAAGAGTCATCATGCGTGAAGGAAGGCCTGTCATCCAATTCCTGATCAAATGGAATCACTTGAGTTATGATGAAGCTTCGTGGGAGGACAAGACATTCATTGAGAACCAGTTTCCTGAATTCCAGACTCGAGGATAAGTTTGTTTTCGCGGGGAAAAATTGTTAGAAACGGATAATTGGATTATTAGGAGCGTGTAATTGAGTCAGGAATTGGAAAATCGGATCAGCAATTAAGGGAAATTGGGAGCATGGAACGATGTCATTCCAATTAGTAGGATTTGAATTAGGTATGGCGGTTAGTGGCTGACTCAGAAGAATATATTAAAGGTGGGGCTCACTTTTGCACAGTCAGACAAGTAATAACAGAATTCAGTTGCTTCCCTCTCATTTCTCTCATTTCTATTTTCTCTCTCGCCTGCACTTTTCTCAATCTTCTTCTTCTCCAATTATCTGTCGAATTGCATGATTGATACCTCAAATCATAACATGCTGCTGCTACATTGCCAAGCCATGCATACGTATTCCATTCATGAATCATCATATTTATTGACTAACCTAAACCCCTGCAAATGCATCATAAATACAAATAATGTATTTTTGTCTGCGTTATAAATATATTTATAAATTATTTTTTTATTTGACGTACATTATATTAAAAAATAATAATTTTTTAAAAAATTATTTTAAATAATTTTCTATCAAAGCATGCTTGCTTAGGGTCTATTTGTATCGATGAAATTTTTTTTCAAAAACATGTTTTCCCTTTTTTCTGATGTTTGGTTGAAAAAGCATCCAAAATATTTTTTTTTTCTATAAAAAAGGTTCTACTCTATCCAATGGAAACCAAACTTCTGCAAAAGGTTTTAGTGAAGTTGTTTTCTAACTCAATGGTATTGTTGGTTACATCATCTTATTCAATTGTTCATAGAATTTTATGTGAATCCTTTAAAATGATTTTTTTTTTTTACTGTTTTTTGACTCTCAAATTGATTGTGGTGTTTAACACGGATTGCCTATAGTAGTAGTAGACAGATACTAACTGATAATTATATTAGAATGCTAATAATTCAAAGAGACGCACTAATAATTGTTAGATGTGAGGAAAATATTTTCAAAAAAGTCAACCAAATATGAAAAATAATAGAATAAAATCACATTTTTTCAAGAAAATGATTTTCAGCGAGAAGATTTTCCTGGGGAAATTATTTTACAAGCAAACAAACGGACCGGTACTACTTCACCACTGGAACGTTGTTGCGCCCCCCGCGGCAACATTTTACCATGCAAAACCATACAGTAGAAAGCTCTCTCCCGATTCTCACCAATACAGCCTCTCATCGAGGTGGAGCAACATTTAATCAGCAGAACATAGCACCAACCGAACTAAAAAATGAATACAACGGTGGTAAAATGAATACACTTACGACGGTAAGATGTCATCTTTGGCTTAAGCTTTCTTCCGCAAATGAGATGAAAAGACGGCAAGTTCTTGGCAAATACAAAAACTGCAAATGCTCCCTGCACTTCTTTTGCTGCGTTTACTCCGGTAGACGGCAAAATTTCAAACACTTCTAGAGCAATAAAACAGTGGTGGAACACAAACCTACTAGTTCAAAAGAATGCAATAAAACTTTCTTCTTTAATAACCGAGTACACGACGCTACATATCGACATGGTTGGTCAAATGTTGATCCTCCACGCATATGTTTCAAATTTTAAATAATCACACTTCACTTCTAGAGCCAACAGGTCAATGTTCATCAACTCCCATTTTGCTAGGAAATACACAGCTAACCTTGCTAATGCATCTGTTGCGTTATGCTGTTTGTATTCCATCCACTACATTCTTGGGGATCCGCAGATATTTGGACTCTTTCACCCAGCTTCAGCCTTCACAGTAGGGCACCTCTTGCAAATGCTAATGCTTGCCTGCTTTACGTAGCCTTGATAAAGCACCATGCTTGGTTAACTTGGTCAAGATGTACGCCATTGCAATCTTTGCACCCAAGTCAGAATGACCCCCAGACAGGCAGACTGCACCCCCTAGTAGGATCAAACCATTTTTTATCAATTTATTTGCAGGTTTTCTGGAGATATTACTGGTATAGCAATCCGAAGCCAGTTGGCAGCAAATGGTACTTGCTGCAGAGGACGTGTCATCAACACCTTCCATTCCAGGAGGGAACTATGTGAAAAAATGGATAACATTAGACAAGAAACAGTGCTTTTCAAAAAGCTCCCAACAATTGCTACTCATAAGAAAAAAGCTGATTAATATACCAGCCGCATAACAGACAGGCCCGACTTAAAAATCTACCATAGATAAACAACATAGAATGCAAGCACAAAGCAAACAATTGACACTAAGGTCAATTACCAGCGGCTTTGAGCTACGGAAATCATTACTACTGCATGTTGGCAATTTGAGCAAGTCAAATTTGTGGACACCAGTCTACCACTACCTCAGCAAAAAAGGTCCAACAAAATTTGTGGTTTCTAGGAACTACAAACAAAAAATGAGAAGGCGACTAAACTTTTCAGCCTAACCACCTCAACAAGAGAAAGGCTTTTGATTCTGAAAAGAAGCTTAAGAAAAACATTTACATCATGTACAACACGGATGATATGTACAAGTGGTTGTTGATGTCACACAACACTGGGAGTAATGCAAGTTTGAGCTTAGAACATGAGGTTACATCTGGTACCTCTAATGGGCTATATAGCATTGTCGGAGCCATGAAAACAACTTGTGACAAGAAGAAATTATTCCTAACCTTCTGAGTTAGCATTGTTGCACTCAAAGATGAATTCAGCTGAGGAGAATATATACGAAGCGCATCACTCATCCTGCATACATAACTCCATATGCTCTTTGCAAATACCAGCTTTGCCATTTCCACATTCAGGCCAGCGTCTTCTTGATGCACCATTTTGATTTCGCATGCATTTCTGCCAGCTACTGAAGAAAGATATTTCAGGGAAGCAAGAAATCAAATAAGATCATTCGCTCAGTTTGTGCAAAAATCAACTTACAGAGAAATGAAGGGAAATCCAACTAGTGTTATTAACCGTGGCAGTACAGTAAATTGTATCAAGTTCACATACTACTACATGAAAAGGGGAATGCAAAAGAACAGCAAACAAGTGTGACAGATCAGAATGGCTTGGATATGCACCATTACATTCCATTCAAGGCAACTACCTAAGATGTCAGGAAAAGAACACAAAAAGAAAATGCACTTTGTGCACAGTGATAATCTAAATGACCGACCTCAATTTCCTGTCCCAATATGTAGGAATTTATTTTTGCTCTGTGGGGAAGGAGGAAGGTAGTTTATTTAGTAACTTATCATACTTGACTATAGAATTGATGCTTCTGCAACATATTTTCAGTTACAGCACTTGCCTTGGTACTTCTAAGACATCAGATGGTAAAATATAGGACCTCTAAGAAAATAGGTAGCACTTTCATTGTGCATCTAAGCCAAAAAGTAATAGGTGATCTGCACCTGAGTACTAAACTGCACAAGTAAATAAACCTTTTTTTCCCATGCTTCTGAGGAAACAAGAAAAAAAAAAAAGATCTCTGAAATTGCAGCTAATGGCACAGAACCATTGCAGCTTTCCCTGATTCAATATGCTTGCTATGATATATCTCAATTATCTGCTGAAAAATAAAATGACGTCGGAAAATAAGTCAAAAATACGTGCCTTTTCTGATTCGCCAACCAGACCTAAGGAACATAACCCTTACATATTTCTTCTGTCTTGGGGCAAGAGCATGTTCACATCCCTGATAAATGTATTGTGCAAAATCTGTAAGCCATAAAGAACTATGCCCTTATCATGGAAACATGACAACTATGACAAGCAACCACAAATAATAGATTGTCAATAAATAATTCAAAAGCATAAAAGAAACTTGCTTCTGGATTTACTTCAAATGCTACTAAGCAAGGGAATCCGTGTTGTCTGAGAAATATTGTGGACATCCAGTGCACCACTTCATTGCTGATAATGTAGTGCAGCAATACAATTACTCATAAGTTAGTACTAGAGAGAGAGAGAGACAGAGAGACAGAGACCCTCAAACATGTATCCACCAATATCTCCACCTCCTTTAGGCTCTCTTCAGTCTGCTTTCCAATCTGTGCCCCTCAACCCATCTGCCACTCTATGCCTTCTGTCCTCCTTCCAACTTGAAACTATTGCTTAATCATATTGCCATCCCAAAAGATACTGAGTTTCAAGAATGGTCTTACCTTACAAGGGAATTGACACATTATTCCTGTTTGGATTGTAACTTTTCTGTAATAATTTTTAAAAATTTTTCTAGCAAGGGATGAGTGGGACTTAAGAAGTGGGTAGATAGAGGCATTTGAATCTAGGACCTTTAATTTCTGAGGTCCCAACCTTAGCCACTAGACAAACACCTCCTTGACAAATGAGATAAAGGGATGATTACAAAATGCATCAAGAAATTATTCTAAAATTTTTTTTTACAAAAATTCACAATCCAAACAGGTCTATTATGTAAAATAACTAAAATATGTCCTTAAAACATGCTGTTTTTGTTGAAACCGATTTAAGGAGAAAATACCTCATGCAACTCCAACTGGAAATAGTAGTAAAACATGCCACTGGCTCCTTTTGAATTGCAGCTTTATTTGGTTTAGGTGCACACAGAAATAGGCACAGGTATTTGCTACCTTCCTAAATTGGTTGAGATCAGCCAAGGACACGAAGTTTTAACAGCAACAATTTGCATAAACTTTGAAAATCGCATTACCAACTGTTAAAACAGTGGAACAACTGGAAAAGGGCGGGGAGGGAGCAGAAAGGATGTCAAAAGGGAGAAAACTGGTGGTGGCAGGAGACATTTACGTGCTGATTTCGCAATCCGCAATTTGGTCGCAGAAACATGCCATCAAGATCAAAGTGGTGCAGCAGATGTCTACCAGACACTCTCAAAGTAAATGATAAATAAAAGAACATCTAAGAAGCAGCATCACTCGAAATGCACTATATCAGGATTAGATGAGCTACAACAACTTTGGATACCTTACTAAGACAGTAGAAGGCCCCATATTTATCTTCCCAAACTCTCCAAGCTGATACATATTCTCTTGGGGTCAAGAAGGGGAATTTTTTTATCGTGCGACCAATTTCAGTTCCATTACTTTCATCCACCTGCAGCTGCTCATGCTCCATTAAGGTCTTGTCCCAGGTTTTCCTATAGTTATTGTCCATATAAAAATTTCTCAGCAACTCAGAAGAGCAATTCTCAAACACTGTAATACTCAAATATTTCAAAGGCCCGTCCTGCAATAGAAAAGGATATCATCAAGTATATTTATTCAATACTAAATTGACAGCAAAAAAGGATACTAAATCTAAGAGATAGAAGAGAAATAATGGTCAAGCAAGCTGCAAAATTTTATCTTCCCTTAAAAGAAGCATGTCATCAGGCCAAGTCCTAATAGAAGATGAGCCAGCTCAAGCGGACTCAGCAACAGTGCAGTAATCAAGTAGCATACACAATGTAGCACCAAAAAAGTAGACTATGAAGTGATCAACTATATTACCACCCTATCATAGTTAGCTGCAAGACATTAACTAAGCCTGAGATTTTTTTTTTCTTTTGGGGTCCCCCGTCTGAAGGGAAAAGACGGGCAAATATGTACAAAAGTTATTTCACGTCAAGCTGAGCACACATACAAAGTGGGAAAGGGGAGAAAATGGTGTATGTCCTTGCACAGCAAATGTTATCATTGAACTCAACTGGGCTAATAACAATATAACGAAAAGAAATCAGCAAGCAGTTGCTAAAGTGTACAAAATGATAAGCAAAGAACATGTTTTTTCCAGTAGGATACGAACAGAATTTAGTTTTAAGCAGGAAGTCCCTCGGAACAAAAAAGGCAGAGGGGTTAAGATAGAAAGCTCTAGGCTTAAAAAATGGGGCCTGGTTCAAGTATGCCAGAAGAAAAAATATGAGGGGGAAAAGGGCAAAGAAAATAGAAACCTTAGGCTTGCAAGACTTGGCAGTGTAGGAAAAGAAATGGTTTCTCCTGTCAATGACAGGCTCCCATTCCTCAATCTCATGAAGCTTCTCATCCAAGTCATGGAGCAAATCCTTGAGATCCGAGTCAGATACAATGCTAGAAGTCCTGTGAAATTAATATTTCCAAGCGCCCAAGGCAACAATTATTAGAAGAACTTTTAAGCAACAGCCGAGCATTAGATGAAAAAGGAAAAATCGTGAAAATGCTAGCTTGAAAATCGACTACTGCAAGTTTCAAACAACAACAAAACCACCAACAAGAATCAAAGCAACCAGAGAGAGAGAGAGAGATGACTAGATTAGAGAACGGAAGAAACGACGAGTAAAAGCACAACAGAGACAGAGACTAGTATACACATACTTCCCAAGTATAATGAATGGTACTAATAAAGTAATAACATAGACACACAGGAAAGAGGGAGAGAGATGAAGAAGATAGCAACCTAGGTTGCGAGAGGGCGGCGGAGGAAGGTGAAACGGCGACATTAGCATTTGTTTTGGGGTTGAGATTAGGAGGAGCAACCGTGAAGCGGAAGCGAGCGGAGCACCACCTCACAAACTGGGTCGCCAATATGATAAGTATAACTCCCATGGTATAGGGGTTCCATGATGGCCTTAGTCCTCCATCATCCACCATTTCTCTTCTTCTGCTGCTGATTTCGAGTTCAAATCATTTGAGCTCATTCTGTACTACTACTCAACTCAAATCCCCGCCACCTCCCTATCCCCCACCCCCTCTTCTCTTTTTTCCCAAAAACCCCAACACCAAAAAAAAAAATTTTAATTTGAGAGAGAAAATTTTACCTGTCTCTGGTCTCTATTCGTCAAATTCACAGTACCAAAAAGGGCTGTCCAGTTTGCTACAAACACGAAAGCAGCTTCCCCACTGCTACAGGCTACTGCCGCGACTCCACCCGTTCCTCGTTCTTAACTATGGTGCTTGCTTGTATAAATATTTGCCATCCACCACCATTCCTTAATACATATAAATAAATAAATAGTGTATTTACACACACCTGCTATCCACATATATACATTTTTTTTTTTTTATAATATCCACATATATACTAAATATTAATCGAAACATTTTGCATCTTTCAAAATAGTTCTATCCTGTGGAAACACCCGCTATCGGTTATCGACTAACTAACATACGGGTCGGACCCGCCACCGCCCCGTGGGGGGGGGGGGGGGCTGCAGGGGTAGCTGCTCCCACAGGTTTACTATAATTTCTATTGGGCCTACTTGTTTTTATAAGTAAAACAATCTATGTGTTTGGACGGAGCATTATTTGAAATCTTGTCTTGGGAAATGTTGTCAATTTTGTAATCGCACTTTCATTATCATTTTTATTATATGATTTTAATTTATTAGATTATATGATAAAACAAATGATGAAAATATAATTAATAAAAGCAAGTGTCTTCCAGTGCTCTTACTCATACGTTGATTATATGACATTGAAAAAGAAATAATTTGAAAAAAACAAGTAGGCCTGACTGTTTCCTTACATGAACTAAATTTAGCCTGACTGTTTCCAATACATAAACATCTTCGCTGAACAATGCTATAACGATGATACCAGGCGAAGTAATTCAAAAATATATTGTGATGATTTCCCTAGACATTCCGATTTCCAACTGCAAAAAGCAACACGCGGCAGTCGATTTTTTTATTTAAAAAAACAGTTTAACAGGCTGAAAAAAGATTATTATTAGAGTTCTTTCTACCATCGGATTTAGAGTTTGAATCTTGGTCTTGAGTGTTGAGGGTCAAAAAGATACCAGCAAGATATAACTGAAATTCCCACATTATGAAAATTAACTTTTGAGTCTCTCATGCATTGGTTTCTAATATTTGCATTGGTACCACACAAGATTTGGCCGAGGACAACCAACGCAACTGAGGTTGATTCGTTAAATTTGGAAGGCTACTATACAAGACCAACAATTGAGTCCCCTCCCAAGGAAGACTTCAAGCCTTGCGCGGGAAAAAAGAGGAAAGAGAGAGGGGGGGCTTGAGAATTGAGACTCAAACCAATGACCTCAAAGTCGCGTGACTAATGTCTCTATCAATTAAGCAGAATCTTGAAAACATTAGCCATGCGAAACAAATCTAACCCACCAGAAAGCAGAAGCAACAGCTTGCCTTTGCCAAGACGAGCGCCAATCTTTTTCCTGGAAAGACAGATTAAAGCTGAAAGATTGCAGCAAAGCCACTATTATCACGTACACAAGGTCCTTTGAAGATATCACATCACCTCAGTCCCCTTAAAGTCCACAGCCTTCTCCCTCTTGTGATCACGAGCCTGATTACGGAATTAAATAATTCCACAAGAGCATCAACTTTAGAAGTGATCGTGGGTGTGTCAATAAGAGCTAAATGACATCTTCCCTTCTTCAGCAGCCAGAAGTTTTATATGGCAACTTCTTTGTTTTCTTCTCCAGATTTAGTTTCTGTATGAAAAAGTGCTGTTAGCTATTAATTGGATTTAGGCACACTTCAATCAAACACCAAAGAAAACAGTAACTTTCTGACTTACTTTCTCATGCTTGGTTAACTCTCCAGCCAGTCCAGTAAAAGTATTACACCTTCGAAGCTAGACTATCTTTCATCAAGTATTTCTTCTTTCCTTGAAATTATGGGGGACGTGGCTGGAATATGAGTATCTTTATGTGGGGCTGGGGATTGAGCAAGCCGTCATGAAGGGAAGGAAATCAATTATGGCAACAAAATAATTGAAGACAAGTGACTAGGTCTTTACCTTTTCCCAATTTTCGGGTCCGGATTACACCACCTTCAACACTAGTTGAGGAAAGCGTCCTAACGGGCACAGATTTTGCTGAGGATTCGGGCTTCTTTGACGATATAAGAGCAGAAGAAAGAAGAGCATCAACAGCATCACGTTGTTGTTTTCTTTTCAAAATTGTATCATTAGGCAATTCTACTTGACCTGAAGCTTTCTCAACGTAACCTCTGTCTGCACTCAGGCTTCCTTCAGGAGATGTTACGCCTGTGTCCATCATCAGCGAACTTCTTTGATGCTTGGAAGGACCTAAACGCCTTCGGGATGCTTGACGTTTCAAATGTCTACGATTCTCACATATCACTTTCTCCAAATGCTCTTGGTCATTGCTCGAATTTCCACCCATATTTCCATCTGGTGAATTGAGTTCCATACTCTTAATTTTCATTGGGCTAATCCTTCTACCAGAAGTTCCCTCATTCCCGGCTTGACTTCTATCAATGGAAGGCTTCAAACCCTGGCATATTTGGCCCCCGCTATTTTCAACAAAAACAGATGCAAAATCCTTTACCAACGGAGAATTATTTTTGTTCGTGACTCTTATTTTGCTTTGTGCAACGGTTTTTACAGACGGTACAACATGCTCAATTTCACCTGTCACAGCATCAACAGGTGCTTCACTCATAATGTATTTTCTCTTCTTTTCAGATATATCTTTGGCCCTTTTGTTTTGCACATCAGCATGCTTGGCAACTGCTTTTACCTTATTGACGTGCTGCAGCTGCCTCAAATGATTCCCAGGACCTTCGTCGGGAGGAATTTCATGTGAAGCTGAATTGAAGATAAGATTGTTGTATGGTCTTCTAACTTGTGTTACCAAATTTCTTTCTTTAGCATCCTTCAGGAGAGAAGCCCAGTTCTCGTTTGTCTGCAACGTTCTTGCATTTCCCAAAATCCACAAGGAAAATTTGGCCCTTGTGAGAGCAACATTCATGCGTCTAACATCAGCAACGAATCCAATACTGCTAGAACTCAATCTGGATGCCTGATGTTCAGCTGCTCTAACCGTGGAAAGTACCAAGATGTCAACCTCTCGACCTTGAAAACCATCAACTGTATTAAACTCCATTTCAGCTGAAATAGAAGAACCAAATGCACTGGAAAATCGTGAACGCAAAACAGAAAGTTGACGCTTGTATGGAGTTATTACACCAATCCTTCCACCGACAAATTCCAATGGGTACCTGGGCAAAAACCCCCCACTTATCACAAGAGAGAATCATATGGCAATTGATCAATTGAAGATGGAGAAGGCATACCTCTTCTTAAAATGTCTTAGTACTTCAACAGCAGCATCAGCCTCACATTCATTGTAGAGGGATAGCGAACCAGTGTTCTTACCATGACTTTCCTGTCCATCAACGACATCAAAGAACATGTAAGGGCCAAGGCCCTCAGTCTCATGGAAGACTGCAGCTTTGCTGGACATCTGGTCGCCGTTTTTCAACTTCCCATCATAGAAGTGCAACGAAGGAAAGCGACATATCTCCGGGTGCATCCTATACTGACATATTCAGAATATGTTGGATATCTCATACATAGATACACTGGCAAGAGCATAACACCAATATTCATGGATAGTAGCCCAACAATGACAATGGATCAAAGAGAGCAATCACAGAATGAGCAACTAATATTCTAAACTGTATTCATCAGGACCTTTTCTAATTTCTAACTTCAATGTGCTTTCTGATTTGGCATGTCCAATCTCTGTTTAAGTCAACTGAAATTGTCAAAGGCAAGCTCCTTTACAGTTAGATTCCCAAACACTAGGTGCTGCATTCAAATATTCATTCACTCCTTAGCTTTACTCTTAAATGCAAATAGTTCTGCAGATATTGTCTTATTAGATTCTGTCATTGAAAAAGCTTGTAAGGTATGTGTCTCAATTTTCTATAGATTTTATAGAATTTTGCGTTTTTCGGTCCTTGGTTATGTACCTGGGCCACAAATGAAAAATGAGAGAAAATGGGGCCTCACTGGATTCACAATATTTGAGGACCATTTTCTAAGCTGCATTTGATTCAGGAATATCCTTACAAGCACCCAGCTTTTAAGCTGTAACAGCTTGACTCAGCGCATCAAATACTATATGTAAATCACTGTATGTGACACTCTAATAGAATACATTTCCTTTCATACAAATTTCAGTTTACCATTCAAACAGGATGATAATACTTAAAGACTACCTGTTGGGTAAGCATCACAACAGGATGACCAGCACGTTGCAAACGTTCAAACATGCTGCACTGATATAAATATTTGCTGGCAATGTTAGAAAGAACTGTAGCAGGAAGCTGTTTGGGATCACCAACCTTCAAGAAAGAGAGACTATTCAATAGCATTTCTCATGGTATAGTGACAATTACACATTCTTTCCCTAGCATTTACCATTATACATCTGGTTCCCTTTGACTTTAACAGCTGAAGAGGAATCAATGTAGCAGGTTCAAGGGCCTACAGCAGAAATCTATGAATCAAAAGCACAAGAAAAACATACCAGAAGAACCATTTAAACCAAAGAACAAACAACAGAGAGAACGGATAAAAATAGGGTAATAACAAATGAAAAAGAAAGCAAAATACTTGTGCTGCTTCATCTACTACAACAGCATCAAATAGGGTGCTTTCTGTTGAACTGCTGAACTTATGGCTCAAGATAGATTCAGCACAAACCCCATAAAGATCTCCACCACAGCCACTCAGTGTAGTCACGACAACTTCAGCTTCTTTCAATATAGCCCTTCGCAACTTCTGTTTACGAGCTTTGCTTTCTTCACTGGCCTTTTTCTCCTGAGTTTGTGCATGGGAAAGATCTTTATAGAATGCTTTCTTTTTCTCATACAATCTTTTCAGCTTTGCTTCAATTTCTGTATCAATTGGCTCCTTCAAGTCATCACCTTTAACACTCCCTTCTAATTGTCTTCTTGTATCTGGATCTCTACCCACCAAGTTCGCACGCTTGGCTTCATAAAATCTGATTTGATCAACTAAACGCTCCAGATTAGAACGAAGAACTGAGACTGAGTCCACACCAATCTCAGTCTTTCCATCATTCGCAGTCTCCTCAACCACACGCTGATCAACAAGTGTGTCAATAAAGTAAGGCAGTGAATTCGGATGAACAGTCCTGATATTGCCAACTCTAACAAGATATGGTTTATATATCAGTCCATCACAACCATAAAGCCCTTCAGTTGATATTCTAGACACTAACTCATCAACTGCAGCATTGGATTGAGCACAGATGAGAATCCGTCCTCTACTGCAACTGCCAGAGGACTTGGTGCTCCTGTCTTCCTCTTCATGTAGTTGCTTGGCCAATGCTGCATCCTGCCATGCCCTTGCAATCGCAGCAGACTGATTGATCTGTGATCTGGAATGCATGTCAGAGCTAGTCGTACAAGATGGATCCCGACTTCCCGTTCTTTTCTTATCCCTAGTCCGGGAAAATGCTAGCAAACCACTCACAATTCCCAAAATTGTTCTAGTCTTACCAGTCCCTATCAGTAAAACATACAAATGACACAAAATCAGCAAAACATACAAATTACACAAAATTGCATATTAAAGAAACAACAGAGCAGGGAAAAAAAGAAATTAAAACAGAATAATATAAGAGGAGTAAACAGACCTGGTGGACCCTGTACAAGGGACACTTCAAAATCCTTTTTCAAATCAAATGATCCAATAGCAGCAGAGATAGCTTGCAGTTGAGAGCCATTATATGAGGACCTTAAAACCTGCTGCAAAGGCTGAGACAATCTGCCAAGATTTTCTCTTCTAGAATTATTAACACCAGTATGACAGGCTGGATTCAAGATAACAGGAAGCAAAGGAATTTCTCTTAATGATGACAATGCTTGGAATTCTCGGAGTTGAGGTGTAATGCTCATAATGTGACTAATGCACCATTTACTTCGTTCAACAAGAAACTTTCTAGCTCGATTAAGACGAGAAGATCCATTTTGCAGATACAGTCTGAGAACTAAGACACTTGATCTTCTTTTAATGTCTATTTCACGCTTTTCAACCTAAGCACAAAAATATCACCAAGGTGAAAACAATTATCTAGAAATGCAAAGCAAAATACAATGGGTGTGTTTGAATAAGCGATTATTTCAAAATATATTATTTGGAATGATACTGTAGCATTTTTTAATGATGTGATGTATGTGGGACGAAGAGATGGTTGACAATATAAAAAGGCGATTAGAAAATTTGTTTGTGATGCAAGCCAAAATTTTTTGCAAATAAAACTTGTATCTAAACATGCCCAATGTGGATATTTCAAATTTTATTGTTAGATCCAATGAGATTCCAGGAGAAATCTAACAAACTGAAAAATCTGCAGTCAAACTAACACTGTCAGCCACCTAAGCTTGAACTGAGACAAAGTTACCACTGCACTTGTAGAGAGAAAATAAAATTTTTAGCATATTTACAGCCGCTAAAGAAACCCAAAAACCATGTGGATAAATGAATTGAAAGAAAGAAGAAGTATTAAACGTCATCCATTCCTATGGGCACTGAAAACTAAACTCATATGACTAAACAAAAAATCATTTTGCAACAGATGCAGACATGCAGATACCTACCTTCCCAACCACGTGAATGTCCCCATGGAAAGAACGTGGCAATGGTTGCCTAGTAAGCAATATGAGATCATTCTCCAAGAAGCTCCTAGAACCCGAGGATTCAGCTTCATCATGGACACAGCGAACCATATGAAAATCATCAATTCGCTCAACAGACAGCACAGAAATACCTCCATAACACATCTCATCTAAAGATGTCATCTCCTGAAAAGAACTGTGAAGCTGTGCCTTAAATTCTTCTAGTACTAGTGCACGAAAAATTTCAACATATTCATCAGGTGATTTAAAACAAACAGGGACCTCCTTCAATTTGCCAAACTTCCTATTCCCACCTTTGTCTTCTGATGCTAATCCAACTGTCACAAAGTAATCCAACTCTAGAATTGCCTTATACCAATCATCAAGCCTGGGAGCCTTAAATCTTCCCTTTTCAAGATTCAGCCTCCAGCTCCCAGACCTGTTTTGCATGGGTAAGTTGAGTTGAATGACTTGTCGTTTAGCACCAGGGTTGCTTGGTTTGGATAACAGTGATTTGTGAGGCCTTGCTGACTTGAAAAACGAAAAATCCCATGAATCATCTTCTCTATCATGATGTAATACCTTGTTTGTGACTAGATGACTTTTTTCTAGAACTTTGTCATCGCTTTTGTGGTCCTTGCTGTTGCTGTTAAAGATATTACTTGTACCAACTGGTGCTTTCATTTTCCAACCAAGTTGAGACTTGGAAGAACCAGTTCCCCCTGAATCTACACTTTCATCCGATGACTTTAAGTCAGATACATTTTGTGGAGGACAAAAGTAATTCTTATTGTGTTTAGGGCTAATCTCTTTTTCCTTACTCTCGATGGACTTAAACATCAAGTCAGGTGCAGGCCACTCTCTGCCTTCAGTTTTATCCATCTCCAGCTTCTGAATGATAGGTGAAAAACCCTCTATACTTCCTTCGCAAAGAGTTTCTGATGAATATCCCAAACAACCAGTCGTAGAATTATTTTCTTCATTACAATGCAAAGTTCTTTCCATAGGAACAGAAGAAAAAGCCTTATTATCAAAACTATCTTGAGTCAACCCAAGATAAGATTGAATCTTCTCAACAGCAGAAATTGCTGGTTTTTCATCATCATCCAGAAGAATTATCCCATTATCCCTCTCTCTACCAATTAATCCATCCAAGCCTGTCATATGTTCTTCTACAGCATTCGAGGATAACAATTTCACATTTTCAAGCAAACAATTTTGCCCGTCCAATAGCTCTTCAGAGAATATTGATTTGGGTTTCATGTTTGATTTATTTAATGCAGAAGAACCGTCATCCACCAATGAAAGAGAGAGGCATGTGACTTGATCATTCATTTCATCCATTGCAACATTATCTGCAATGCACATGCATGAGTCTGCTCGTATTGCAAGTGAAATTGAGGCAAGAAGGAAATAAAAACAAAATATTTCACCTGATGAGATGAGCCTCTCCACAGCCCTAATTGCACAAGCAGTATTTTGACTGCATGACTTCTTAAGCACACCCAGCAAAGAAACTAGAGCTTGTTTCCAGTATCTAGCCACCACAGCAAGTGATGACCTACCCCAATCCATGAAATCATGAAGCCACTTCATGTCAGTTATAGCTTTCATTGTGAGGCCTGAATTTGGATAAAGTTCACCAAATATAATAGGAAGGATCTCAAGTAGACGGACACTTGTCATCTGAAACCAAAAACTGAGAATGCTAGTTAACTGTGAATCAAATGACAAAGAAATAAAGTGCTATGACAAACGAATAATCTTCCACAACGCCTAACTGGTACGTCAAGCAATCTGGGATTTTTCTGTTTTTCAGTGTTTCAAGAAAAAATTATTTGGGGAAGGACTCTTGGGTGTTTTAGTATGCTTCCAGAAGAAGGTAAAGTACCAACATGAGAAACCAAGGCAGGTCATCATGCGCAAGGCATACCACCAATTACGGTCAGTATTAACTCAAAAAGGTCATTAAGAGCACTTGAAGGACAAGCGACACTGAGTAAAATATAACCACCAAAGCAACAACACTGACAGGTCAATGCACTGGCAAATCAAGTGTTAGCATTACTGTTTGACTAAGACAGCTCAGAGATGTATCCATGCATTAAACAGCTATTGTAGTGCGAAAATTCTTAACAAGATCCCTAGTGTGTTTATCAAATCATCATTTGATATTAAATCAGGCGTAATATGGAGAGAACAATAACATATAGTTCAAACTTGCGTGCTCTGTGAAGGAATAGATGAATGCATAGAGATGCCCACTGCAACTAAGCGTACAATACTCAAAGACAAAGAATTATTACAAGTTTCTTTACCTGAGATATTTTATCATCTTTGAATGCCTTGCCTTCAGCCAAACACTTCTTCACAGATGGCCATGCCATTTCTGATATTGAGCAACAGAATTTCTCCCAGACTGTAGAATTGACAACAGATGAATTTAGGTCGTCCTTTCTCAGATTAATTACAGGCTGCCTTAAAAATCCACCTAGGGAAGAAAACTCTGGAACATTTAAATCTCCTCGAGAACCCCGAGCAATTGGATCTCTACATGAATTTCCTTCTTTAATTAATTTGCATAGCACAAAGAAGAAATGGTGTAGCGTTTGAAAGTTCAGCAACACAGCATCCAAGTGAACCTGGAAATGATGTTGGATCATAGTACAGAATTTGTAACCAGAACAATATTTCCAATGGAAAATTTTTTTAAAATGCGGATAGAACAGAGGAATGAGACCACTAATAAATGTTAATTGAACTTCCAAGAACATCTAATGCATGTAATATGGAAGAGAAATTTGGAGAACAGAGGAACTAGACCATGAATCAGTGTCAATTACAGCTCTAAAAACACCATTTTATGCACGTAAGCTGACTTGCATAATGAATCAAACTCTTTTCTAATGAGATTACGCTACTACAGTTTTGATCACGATGATACTGATCGAAAGGTAAAATAGCCAAAAATGCTCCAAACAAATATCCAAAAAAAGTTCCTTATTAGCTCGTGAAACATACTCTAGTCTCATACTGCCAAAATATAGTTATTCATGACACGGCAAAGAAAAGAAATTAATTCGGTTCAGTACCGGACATTACCAGTTTCAGGGCATGCCTCAACCCCAGAAAGATGGCTGCCAATGAAGATTGGCTCGAACAGAGAAACCGCAGACCAGAAGTAAGGCCCTTTTCGCCTGAAAATTGCTCAAGGATAAGCCTACTCACTTGTCTGTCATTCTGGACCAAAAAGAAAAGAGTTCAGACTTGACCGTTAGAAGAACATGATATACACGGAAAAGGGGAAGAAAGAGTGAGGAAGTATAAGTAAAATAAACAAAACAAAGCAAATATGACTTCATTAATTTGCCCAAAACTAGAGAATTTCTTTTTTAAATGTAAATTAGTACATCATTTGGATCAACAAGAAAAAGAATCAGACTATCAGCCATCCCTGGCTCCCAAGTCCACTGCTTCTTCAGTTCACTTTGCTCCATTCTGAAAATATAGTGGGAAGCCAACCTGCAATCCACTCAAAAGAAAAAGAAAAAATTGTGTTGTTTTCTGTTCCTTTTCCCAAATAGATGCAGGTAATCAAGATTCAAAATCATAATCAACTACAAGGAGTTACACTCAGCCAAAAAAAAAAAAAGAGAAGCAACTTACCTCCTAAATGTCCTTATGAGAGGAATATACATTTTTGAGACACCAATGGAGTTTTTGGACTCTGCTCTATCTCCACCATCGTCAGAACCAGAAGGGATCTTCCAACCAAAAAGATGAGAAATTTCTGAAGCACAGGTTGTCAGCAAATCCCCTATTGAAACTGACATTCGGATGCTATACTCTGCCTCTACCATAGAGAAACGAGATAGAGCCCAAAAAACAGCTTTGGAAAATGATACCGGAAGGATCAAAGGATCAATTCCAACTAGAACATCAAACCATAGCATTGGAATGCACAGCCACTCCCTATATGTCAGTGTAGTATTTTTCATCTGCAGATGGAATTCATTCCAACAACTTGTGTACTTCTCTTCAATATCTTCACCAATAAGGAGCTCTTCATTGTTGTCATTTTCATCATTAGCCTCAACAGGCACAACTTTTTCGTTACATGAGAGCAAATGATTGTTCAAAATTGTGGCAACCAAAGCAGAAGCATCAGAAATTACAACTGTTTGAATAAGATCCAAGGCTGGTTGTCTCAGTGAGATATGAAGGGATGAATCCTTCAAAGAAGAGACAAGAGAAGGGCACCTGGATGATTGAAACAAAAGGACTTGCAAATCAATACAGCCATATCACCAGCAAACACAAGGATATATATATAGGATCACCTGATCCAAGATCTCAAAGTGAAAAAACTCCAAGAACACTAGAGAGGTAAATGAAGCACACAAAGACAGTGAAACATAAATCCTGCTTATCAGCCTCGGAGATTTGAAGACCAATTTTTGTTTATATTCATCATAAACTTCAAAAAAGTGTAGCTAATCTTAAACATCCATAAAGCTACAAGGTATGTGAGAAGTGAAACACATGTTTATTTTTCAAAACATAATTATAAAATCCAGTGAAGACAAAGTCATTTTCTTCTTTGAATTTAGCAAAAAGCTTGAGACCTAAAAATATAGTTACATACACAATAATTCATTTACACAAGGCTAAGATATGCACAATTTTTAGACAAAATAATTCAAACTACATGGTCAAGTACAAGCTAAGAAATATTTTATCACATAAACAACTACTAGTTTTATATAAAAGTTACCCATATTCAAGTAAATTTACTTTTCCATGTTCCAAACCTTAGTTTCTGCTTTCTAAGCTGTTTGGTTTGTATACATAGACCTGCTTATCAGGAAATGCAAAAACCCTCAAATCTGGTCATTGACATCATCAAATATACACTGGAGCCCTACTAGAACTTATGCAGAAATTTTGATTATAGAAGTTAAATTAGGCAACTTTCATCAAAGAAGAATGATCTTGCAGACTTCCATAGCCAACACATCTAAAATATTGACAGAGAGTTGTAGCACATACCACATGTGCGCACATTCATAAGGTGGGCAAGGGGGGTTAATCTTGTAACCTCGGTGAACAATGAGAAGAGCAATCTTGCACAAACAGAGAAACCTCATAAAAAAGGCTGAATTTGCTATAAAAGTAAAAATGAAAGTAAGTATGAAGTTTTCTTTAGCCATTGCAGAGGCAGGAATTAACCTGACAAGCCTTTTTTCGCATCAGTACACTGAAGTTACTACTCACGGTCACTTGATGCAAAAGGAAGTAAAGAAGATGCCTCCGTTGCATTTCATGCTCTCCATCTTGTAAAGCTTCAAGAGACTGGATAGACACACATTAGTAGCAGCATTACTGATACAACATAAAGAAACTCAGGAAGATAATAAAGAGAAAAGAACACCCTGGTGGTGAACTTGAAACCATCAGGACAAAAAAAGTTCAGACATACCTGCAAAAAAGGCTGGAAAAGATCAAAAATTTCTTTGTGGCTTTTCTCATTACGAGTATGAAAACATTGACCTAGCAATGTATTACACATAACACTTGGAGACAATGTTGATCTCCACCAAAGCTTATATCCTTAGCACAACAAAATGGTCAAATATCAGCTAAAGTAACAGAAAATCTAATGCCTTTACAAGAGAGCAATGCACTAGAGGACCCTTACCAAGCATTTGGAAAAGCAGCCTCAGGCAATTAACAGCGTGAGAAAATTCAAGATCATCACTAATTTGGTTAAGTACGACACTCAAAAAAACAGGGTAGCGGTCTAATATCCCTTCCTCAAATGCTGGAGGTTCTAAGAACCCAAGCCTTCAAAACACCCAAAAAGAAAGGAACTATAAGCAGAAAAGTTAAAAAAAGAATAGAACTTAGCATTGAGAATTAAAGCAACTGCTTCCTACAATGCTTTAATCCCGAGCCATACAGTTATTCGGTCCAGCTGCACCCTAGGTCTAGAAGTCTCAGTAGTTGATGGCACTATTTCAGTCTCCAGAAGACTAACACATTTCTTCAGCAAAGGCTGCAGAGGATCCAAGTCAGCTGATCTCCTTCACAGCATAGAATAAAAACTTATCAAAATCCATGAAAATAAACAATTAGCAATAAAGCCAGAATCTTTGATCACCGGGCCACAAAAACAAGAGCTTGGCATATCTAAAGCAAATTATATTACCAACAGTAAAACTGTGTAAAACCATTAGGAGCATTTATAAATTCCCAAGGCAAATTTTATGCTTACTATTCACTTAGAACCACTCAAGCCAAAAGGGATAACAAGGCAAATCTATGCCATAGTTTCAGGATAGTTCATTGAATCATCTGAAAAATGGTAAGAAGAATGAACCATGTTCAGCCTCCGCCAATAAGGTTGCGTCCACCAAATCACTACAAGGTAACTACCATAACAACCCCTTAAACCAAAGAGCAGTTGCAAGATCAACAATATCAAAAACATTATGTTTCAACTTTTCCAGCTAAATGCCACCATAAAATAAGATTAGAAAAGTACCTTACATTACCCATTTGTGCAGCCAGCCGAAAACCAATAGAACGTGTTCTTCTGCTTTTAAGGAAAAGTAATGCATAAACTCCCTAAGCAAAGAATTGAGAACATCATTAAGAATATCTGAAGCTCTCAATCAAAGACTGAAGGTTAGTAGAAGTGAGGGGAAGTTCTTACTGGATACTGCTGATGTCCGGCCAATGTCAGTTCGTGAGAGCTATCAATTGCTTCAATGAACTTTTCAAATTCAGTAGCCAAAGATTGATCATCCAACAAGAAGGGAAACATCAAAACCTGCAGCTCAACAAACATATTTATATCAAATCAAAAATCTATATGCAGTGACCCAACAAACCATGACAATGCACAGCAGAGTAGAGGATGAAGCACACCCTCAATAAAATATCAACCAAGATATGATGTATCACCATATAGTTACAAAAGTTATTAAAAAAAAAAAGCATTTTCATTTACACCCCAAAGCACCTATAACTAACAAAAGCGATAAAAATGAGAGCCACAGTAACAGTATAGGATGGCATTTAAGAATTTGAAAAGGCAATTGAAAGGGTGTAAAAAGGAGAAACAAAAAAGAAGTTGAAGAATCAATAGTACAGCTGTATACCATAACAGGAGGCTTGTTAGCTAGACCAAAGCTAGTTCCATGAGACTACATAATGATCACTAGGAAAGAATTAAATCACCTCTTAGACCCTTTATGCAGATTCAAGGAGCATTCAGGCATTTTGAGCAAGTTAAAGTCCATCATACACAATTCTGTATTCAGGCATTTTAATAATAATTAAACTCCATTACATGTTTTTCAAGCAATTTCTGGACTCTTTTCCATAATCATACCTAATTATACATTCAGCAGCCAAATACTCCAGAGGTTTTCCAACCCTATCCCTAAAATAGTTATACAAAATTCTGTTGTATAATGTGGCAGATACAATAAGAGTCCAGTAGGGTATCGAGAACTAAAGCCTAATTTCTTTCAGTTTTACAAAGAAAAAGCACTACTAGTTATAGATCCAAATGCTCAATCGTCACTAAATATTGGATTTGTTAAGACTTAAGCAGACTACCTTATCAAAAATCCATGTAATTGTTCACTCACAATATTCAAAACAAATTTACACACACAATTCAGATTCTTTAATAGTATAACCAACCTTAATTATAGTTTGGTGTTCTTTCCACTACAGATGTTGCCACCTTAATGTTAAGTCATCATCAAATGCAAGCCTCATATCAAGATATAAGCCACTGGAAAAGAATTTAGACCAATTAATTTCTATAATCAAGCACTTTTCAATTTGTTAAGAAAAGAGACGAGCAGAAACATGACGACTCTTCAGAAAGTCATGCTTCGTCAACAGTAAGACTTACAGTTTTTGTGATTTCAATTCCCTTCTTCTAAGCACGTCCTCCTAGCCTCATTTATTTCGGTTGTTACAAGAGGGAGTTGTGTTAGGCATAGTCCTGTAAGAATTAAAATTTTTCTGCTCTCCTATGGTTCTGCCTTCATTCTTATCCCACCTTTTTTGTTCATTTATATAATGATTTTCATTAAAAAGCCAATCCTTTCTCTCTAGCCTTCCCTAAGCTCAGGAATTCAGAACGAAGATGTCACCAACTCAACCAATTCCCTGTTTTGAGGCCATTTCTGCCCAAGTGAAATTCAAATATCTATCTGTCTTCAGCAAGGTAGTTTTATTTTTAAGGAAATGGATGGATCATCTGAAGGACATAATTATTAATCTCATCAACCTAGTCCCACTACAGGTTATTCCTAGCAATCTCAGCCACTCCATTATCATGACACTCTGAAACAGGAATCTAGCAAGCAACAAAATATAGATCTCTGTTCCACTTTCTTCAGCAGTGGGCAAGTGGTTAAATATGTCAAATGCAGCGAGGCATTTCAACATCAGCGTGGAGAAAGCAAATAAAGACCAATGAAACCACATCAGATAATAGTATTACACACTGTTGGAGAGAGATTGACATATAAGTATTGGAAAAGGTATCCAAAGCACCTCAAACATCACACAAACAACTTCAGCATTAGTACATGCTGGATCCAACTCCCCCTGAGCTACTTTTGCATTAATCTCTTTCAGATTTTTACTTATTCTTTCTTCATCAAGAGTACGGACTACTTCCAGAAGAGGTCCAATGGAACTGGGATCATAATCCATATGATACATATCCTGGGTGCGATGGTGCTGAGAGATGCATTGAGTGCAATGTCGCATTTCTTCAGAAATCCTAGTCCACAAAATCTTAAGAGGCGAACCATGAGGCTCATCTATAGAATAATTATAGAAAGTCTCCAGAAGAGGTCCCATCAAATCCCAAGAGCTGCACCAAATATGATTGTCGTCGGGCAAGCCAATTAAAAAGTTGAATGCATCAGAAAACCTGAATAAAAAAAATCATGAACAGATAACTTAGACGAAACAAGACAAAACAACCACTTCTGCGTACATAACTAACTACTTATTCAGATAGACAAACAAAACCAAATAAGCTACATTAAAAATTAAATGAGACGATTGAGGAGGAACTACAATGAGGAAATGGACCAACAACCTTCAAAGCAGAAGGAAGCTAGTCACGACATCGAAGCATAAGACGCCTCATTTCACACATCAAAAGTGCAAGTAGGAAGCTAGTGATCACTCTCTAAGAAGGATGCAATTGGCTAGCCACGGTGTAACGGAGAACCTTCCTGCTTGAACTGGCCATGTTTATTTTGAAGGTGTATCCTGAGTTATATGAAGCATGAGTCGGTGCACGGGTGTCAAAATGTGCTTGCAGGCAGGTCACGGGTGTGGGGGTGTATTTCACTGTGCTTTGTGATTAGGCTAATATTACACTTGCTCCAATAGGAGGGTGAGCTTGTTCATAATTTGATTTACCTGTTCTAGCAGAGGGTTGGCGGCAGTATAAGACACCAAGTGTCACCCCAAAGCCCAGAAAGACAAAGGGGGAAAAACAGAAAGAATGATGATGTTTTCGATGTTAACAAAATCCCGTGGACGAATTTCACAACAAAGAAGACTCAAACCCCGGATTATAGAGAAAAAAAGAAAAGAGGAAGATAGAAAAAGAAACAGACCATGCTTGTTTGAGTTGGCGGAGACGGCGACGCTTGTGAAGGTCTTGACCCTGCTCATCATCGTCTTCTTCTTCGATACCCCTCCATCGGTCTAATAGCTCTCCTCTCGTAACCAACTTCTTCTTCTTCATTTCCATTTTTTTAAAAATTAATAGCTTATCTGTTCGCTCCAATCCACCCTCCTGAACCGTCCGCCAACTGATATTCACAGCATTCCCGGTCTATTTTTTGAGCTCAGAAATTAGGGCTTCCATCCACAGGCTTTTTTTTCTTTTTTTTTTCAGCGGCAACAGCAGGGATGATGAAAAAATCAAAATTAAGGCGAGAGAAGTATACGAAACTCAAAAATCAAAACCCCAGTATTCGGAAATGGTACCAATCAAATTACCTCAATGGGCGAGGCGAACCGAACGCGGGAAAGGGGAACAGCGGCCGCCAATAGCGCTGATGCTCCCTCGCTTAAATTAGGATTAGTATCATTAAGTCCCTCCCTCACTTATTAGTGTAACTAGACCAGCAGTACTTGTGCCTTCCGCGCCAAAATGCCGGCGCAATGACCTGTTACTCGTCTCTTTTAAATTTTTAAGCCAAGCCTCGACATATAATGGAAATTTGTTAAACTAACTAATAATAGGGAGGCACTTGGAAATTCGTTAGGCAAATAATGGGGAGCTTGGGAAGTTACTCCGTAAAACTTTTGGACGAGATATTTTTTAAAAAATTTACTGTAATTAACTGTAAAATTAATAGATTATGTATTTGAGAGTTTGAGAAAATTTTTTATAAAAAAAAAATCTCTTTTTTGTCCCTTTCTCTTTTTTTTTTCAAAGTTGCTTTCCTTCCTCTCTTCTTCCTTCTCATACCACCAAAGGGGGAAGAGGGAAAGAGAGAAAAACTTTTTTTTATGTATTTTTTGATATTTTGGGTGTGAATTTTAACAATTTCAAAGTGTTTGTTAAAGGGTTCCTCCAGCTACAGTTGAAAAAAATTTTATTTAAAATAAACTAGCAAAAAATATGGGTGCCAATTCATGGTAAAGTATCTTCATAAAATTTATTTTCCAATGACTGTGAACTTGTTTGAGCACTTGCAGGCTACAATGCATTGTTCTTGTGTGCTTAATAATGTAGGGCCTGTTTGGAAGTGAGTTTTTTGACCAAGCTTTTTAGTTACAAGTTTTTTAACAATTTTTAGTTACAGGAACCCAAAAAAACTTATCAAATTTTTTAAACTACACACTTCAAAATATCTAATACACAAAAAACTTCTATCTTTCTTCTTCTTTCTCCCCCACCCCATCCACCATACCTTCATCACCGGCCAGCACCTCTGCCGCCGTTTCCGGCGCCGACCACCTATTCCGGTGCCGGCGTTTCCAATTTTTTTTTTCCCCTTCCTTTCTCCCTCCCTCTCCCCTTCCCTCCCCTCTCCCCCTCCTCTCCCTGGCCAAACTCCCCCAACCTATGCAGCAGCAGCAGTTACTTTCCTCCTGCTCTGATTTTTCTTTCTCCCTCTAGTCACGCCAACGCTATGGCTGATGGGGGAACAGGGAAGGGGGTTGTGGGAAACAGGAAACGGGAAGGGGAACAGGGGAGGGGGAAACGGGAGAGGGTGGGGGGACAGAGGGGAGGGGGAAACGGCAGAAGAGGTGGCGGGGCAGCGGGGGAAGAGCTGGCGGGAGGAGAGGGTGGCGTGTAGAGGGGAGGGGGAAGAGGCAGAGGGGTTGGCGGGGGAAATGCAGAGGAGAGGAGAAGGGGAAAGGGAGGAGAGGGGTGGCGGGAGGGGGAAGGAAAAAGAAGAAGAGGAAAGAAAAGAAAAATGAAAAAAAGAAAAGGAACAAAAAAATTCACCTTACAAAAACTTTTACAAAATTTTTTATCTTATAAAAAAGTTTTTCACCTTACAAAAATTTCTATAAAATTTTTTCAAAAACTTCTACAGTGCACTACAGTAAAGTTTTAGACAAACTTCCAAAAAACTCAAGTTCCAAATAAAACCATAGATTTGGATGAATTGGCAGGTAAGACCAAAAAGTCAAGGAATCTTTAGTGCTCCAATATTTTGTATTGAAACACACAATTTTGTGTCATACTATCTATTTTAGGCTTAATTACACTTTGCCCCCTTGAATTTGGAATCCTGTACGCTTTGCTCCCCTGAACTCCAAATATATACACTCTTATCCCTTGTAGTTAACTTTATGATGGGATTAAGATGAAGGCATATTTTTCATGACCAAAATATCTCTAACTGATTCTTAAACATTTACAAAACTAATCCATTTACAAATAGCAATGGAAATTTTGTACAAATGCTTTAGGAATTTTTATATTTTTTTATCCACAATACAAATTTTCAAATCTTTGGTATTATACCATCTTTTATTTTTTTTATTTTTTAAATCACATGACTTTGTGTTTTTTCCTATAAAATGTTGCATATTTTGATTAAAAATATAGCATTATTTTAAAACTATTATATAAGGGCATTAATGTTATTTTGTTAAAAATTTGGATGGAGAAATCATCATTAACGTTTGACTTGGTCAATGAATGGGGCAAAGTGCATATATTTAAAGTTCGGGGGGCAAAGTATTATAAAAGGTCAAGTTCAAGGGGGTAAATTGGAATTAACCCTCTATTTTAAGTACTTTTAGTGTTAAATTGTTTTTTCATTTTGAGCTATACTCTTCTTCTTTCCCTCTACAAAAAAATATAAATTTTAAGTTATGCATGAAGAAAAAAAAAAGAAAGAAATAAAAGAGATTCTCGTGATTTTTGAACATATTGGATGTTATTAGTATGTTCGTTGAAAGTTCACATACAAAATGAGTTTGGTAATATTCATATGTAAATAGCGTGAAACAATTTGAAAGTTACATAATTAAAAGTACGAAAAATTTCATTATGATTTTCAAATGTTACGTTATGTTACTAATTTTGACTATTCTCTTTATATATGAGAAATTAAAGTGATTAACACTTGATCATCTTAATAGTTTCATATGTATTTAACTATAAAATTGCTGATATGCATTATTGGTATTTTGTGTATTATTGGGAAGATTTATCATTATTCTTCCACAAATTGAACTATTATTCGTAAAATATAATATGTCAAACAATTAGTACATGTTTTGTATGGTTAGTTCAAAAACGTATGAGTATTTTTCAATTTATATTTGAAACGTACAAACTATTGAATTTTTTTAGGGAAAAATTTTTATTCTTAAGTATTACCTTTTTTTTTTAGTTTAGTAAAGCCAAGCTTTAGTTCCATAAAAACAAAAAGAAATTGATAAAAAAGAGTAAATATCATGTACACTAACAATGTATATACTATCATGGTTAGATGCACGACACGTATATAAAATTTGGATTTCAAATTCGAATTCAAATTATGTATCATGGATGGATTCGATGGGGAAAGTATTCTTAACAAAATGAGGTAACTCCTGCAACAAGGCAAGTGCGCAGGATTTTTCGCACCGTTGAGGTCGGGAAAGCGTGCGATTCTAACCCAAAAGGAATTGAAAGTGAAAGAATGGGTTGCGTGCACCATCTATTGGCTTCTTATATATTTGTTTTTGGAGTTTAATTTAGCAACTCCAAAATCAACTCTAAAAAATACGCACAATCTCAAATATGACTTACAAAAATAAAAATAAAAAAAATTACCAAATGCCAAAATATTTTCTTCTTCCACCTACTACAATAACCCTATCGTCCACCACTGCCATCTAGGCTTATCAAAGTTAGGTTTTAACAAGTCTACACTCAACTCATCTAATTAGTAATACTTTTGAGTTTCAGACTATTGAATTTCGAGTTAATAAATGTGAAATTTATATTTGACTCGCGGGATATTCGGGCTTTAAGCCTAATTCGAGTTTAAACCAAACTCATTTATTATTCGAGTTTAAACCAAACTCATTTATTATTCATTAATTTCCTTAATAGAATTACTATGATTATTAAGTCATAAAACTAATCTAACATCCACGATATTAAAACTATACACGAACCAATAACAAATTATTAAAAAGTAGATAAATCAATAAATTTTCAACAATAATTATATCTAATTCATTCAAAGTACATAAAAAGAGATAAAAGTTGTTCTTCTGTTGAATCTTCTGATATGTTTTTTTAATATTTAATGTCATTGATGTACATTACTATATTTTTCCATATAAGTATTAGTATTTAGTAACTATATATTTATTTGGATATAATTATATATACCAACGTATAACCATACCGTATATAAAAGAGATAAAAGTCTGTCCAGTTTATCACCCTTTTAAAGATTTAGGGGTTAGGTCTCATTAGCTTGTTGACGCGTGTATTCCATTATACCCTGCTTTTCATTTTTCTCTTTCTTTATCATCTCCATGACCTCCGGCCACCCTACCATTATTAAAGCTCTAACACTCGAACTTAGATTTGCAAGCTTCTATTTAATTCACTACGATTTGAGCAGAATACCAGGAAGATTTGACGTCTTTTTTTCTAGGCTGCAATTTCAATTTAATCAGCAAGCAATTAAGTATCAAACCTTTTAATCTTCTATTACATTTGTTTCTTAGGCTTTGTTGGAAAAAACACAATTGTAAATGCAATAGGAATCTGACATTGATGTCCAGGTTGCATTTGGACTATTTGATTAGGATGGTATTGGATGATTTTATTGTGCTACCGTGTCTGATTTTTTATGATAGCTCTTCTATGATTGGTGATGGTGCAAGAGGCGGAATACTTGGCTTCAATTGTGTTTTAATTCAGAGGTATTGGCGGATTAATGGAGGAACTTGTTGACTTGCCGCCATGATTGGAAGTGAGGTAACGGGGAGGTGTGGACAGATGGAGTTATGAAAGAGAAGCAGATAAGGCGAGAGGAGGTGAAAAAGTAATAACCTATGTTTTCAGAACCGGACCGGATAGCGACTCGGCCAAGGTCAGGGGTCAGGTGTCAATGGGTTCGACCGGGGGGTCGATAGGGGGTCGAACCGGATGATGTCATAAATAAAAATTATTTAAAAATTAAAATATTATATATATCATATCTAATAATATATTGATATTAATAAAGATATATTCATATATATTTGATGTTTCAAATATATTTAACAAGAAAATACAAAGAAATTAGAACAATCAACTAGCAATTTATATTATTTAATAAATATTAACAAGTTTAGAATTAAAATTATGAATTTAATTGAAAAATAACATCAAATTGTAGGACAATATTTATAAAGTATCAAATATTTGAGGTATACGAATAAGTTTTAACAATTTAGGGGGCCAAAACATAATATTATAAAGTTTGAATTTTTTTAAAAAAAAATTACTGTTGAACCGGAAAAACCGGTTTTTCCCCGGTCAAACCCGGATTTTGACCGGCTTTGACCGAGTTTTAAAATTTCCGGTTTTCTAAGTTGACTCGGACCGGCTACTTGGCCGGTTCCCGATTCGACTGGTTCGACCGGACGGTCCGGT